CGCAAAGGTCTATCTGCAATGAGGATTATGGCTGCTTCCAATATTGAGCAAAGACTACTAATACTTCTATTCTACGGTCTGGTCCTTTCCCCCATAGAATACGCTCTGGCCATCCTCACTGTCAGTGCTACCCAGATTGAACGACTCGAAAAGGTGCAAAATGAAGCCATGCGCATTATTTTGGGATGTACTAGAGACACATCCTGTGGAGCAATGAGGTATCTACTTGACTTTCCAACAATGAACCAAAGGATCAGGATGTGGAGGGCTCGGGCATATCTCAAAATATGCGCTGATAAGAAACACCCACTGCATCAAGCGCTTTTTAGTGAAAAGGGCGACAGACTGAAGAGGGGGAAATCGTGGCTAGGTCGGGCAGAAGATGTCATTAGGCAAATATGCAGCCTAACCGACATCATACCTGGTGCAGAATGGATACCTGTGCCTCAGGCGTTTATTTGTACATTTTCCTGTATTGTCACACTCAACAGGCGATGTAGAGAAGAGAATCCTGTTGCTGTTAATGCAGAGGTCAACGCTCTCATCGGTGAAAATTCAGACGAAGCAGATGCAATAATCTATACAGACGGATCCGTTAAACGCCAAAGAAGAAGCGCATGGGCATTTACAGCACGCTCAGCGGGCAGAACAGTCAAAGAAGCCAACGGCGCCTTCTCCATGACAACCAGCAGCATGACGATGGAGGTGATGGCAGTGACACAAGCGCTTGCCTGGCTTGAAACACAAAAATACACCCGCGTGTGTATACTCAGTGATTCAATGAGTATGATCCAGAGGGTTCAGGCAGGTTCAGTGCGAAGACAATGGCTTGAATCATTACAGAAGTCCACTGTTCGTGGAGTCACCTTTATTTTTGTTCCGGGACACGCAGGCGTCGATGGAAATGAAAGAGCTGACAGGTTGGCTGGATCCGCTATCACTACCGACGGTCAGCCTATGGATCATGCTGATATTATCAATGCCCTCAGAGAAATGGGAAGAATAGAGGACTTTGGTGGCAGTGAATCCACATCACTCGCCAGAATGGCAGACTTGGGAATTGAGATCGGCACAGCAAAAAACGAGACGCTCACCAGCTACGCCAGAAGACTTGTTAATCAACATAGAACTGGTACTATTAGCCATCGGACGTTGGGATTCATACTGAGGGGAGGATCTGAGCACCTATGGACATGTCCGGAGTGCAATGAGGATAACCCAACTAACTAACTAACTAACTAACTAACACATAAAAATCAAAATATGTCAATAATAATTAATAATCAGATTATTTATGGTAATTAGAGGGGTGGGAGAGGAGGGAAAGGGGGTGGGGGCTGCATTTAGGTTGGTCAAGAAGCATTATGTAAGAAGAAACAACATTAATGAAGAATGTTAACTGAAGGGAGTAATAGCATTAAGGTGCTATAACTTTTCCCCAAGTTTCTGAGAGAAATGCCATGAATACAACAAACGGATAAGAAAACGAATGAATCAGTCGGTAGAAAATCATCGTTATCATCACCATAATCATCATCATCATCATCATCATCATCATCACTGGTTCGTTGCCTCTCAGGCAGATGTACTCCAGCTTTAAAGGAAGAAAAGAGCAGTGAAAGAGAAAGAGATAAAAATATAGAGACATAAACACATATAGCTGAAAACTTGATGACAGCACAAGCAGACAAGAACTAATTCGCGGTTACTACAGTTTATTCAACAATTGACAAACACGTTGCAAGCCATTTTCTCTAAAACTGCCTGTTAGATCGCAATGATTTTTTGAATGCAGCCTTAGAATATTCATGAAGCAAAAACAGTGGTATTCTTTAGTCTATAGATGCCCAGGATGCCGAATGTCAGCCACTTCCTTGGATCTTTTCGAACCGCTTTACACAAGTACACGAACTTTTAGATTTTACAGTAAACATCGGAATTTCCGGTTCTGTTATTGTTCAGAGGCGTGTCGACATAAAACACTGATAAGTGAAGTAAATTTATTTGTTGTTATTTATGTTCAACTAAGCTGAGTCACGAAAGGTATCACACCACTCGAGGCATTTACATATACACTCCGTCCCCGTCTTCAGCAGCTAGCGCAGTTCCAATAACAATGGTACTGGACGCAGTCTGATTATATGTCCATCTTGCCATTCCTCTGAGTGTAGTGTGCCGACCAGGCCCTCTAGTTACACTAAAGTGTATCATTCTCTCCAGGCCATGATAATCAATTTTCTCTTCAGACTTCATTACTTGTTTCCCAACGGGCCTTGACCAAATCTGCCTTGTCATGTATCATTTCACCACCCAGTGATGCAGATCCAGTCAGTCTGCTGCCTTGTTCAATTGTAAACATGTCCCCAGTATGCAACAGTAAGTATTCCCTTTTAGTCACCCTAAGACCCCACGGTATATATTAACTGTAGAGCAAATTTTATTATGGTTGACACATTTGGATAAGGAGATGTTTTTGTTGCAATTGTAGATGTACCTGACGGGTTGATGATATTCAACCACTCATAAAAAAAAATGGTTTTAATCATTCTAAAACTGATGATCCCAAAATGTTGAAAATTTTTACTGCCTGAACAAATTGTAACTCATCTCGGTGCCAGTACTCGTTTTTCTCTCAGACCACATGTTCAGCTCACTTTTTTTTCCAGAAATGAATGTCTATTGCTGAGAGGGACTCACGAGTCAGAACTTCAATATCACACATTTTAAATGAACTTTTCATATTATTTTTAGGCAAGTCGTCTTTTGACTTTAGCGCAAAAAAGCTCCGTCGGGTTGAGGTGCAAAGAGTCTCAGAGAAGTGTGGCCGTAATTAATAATTTTTTTTTCAGTGTGATACACCTTTGTCTTATTTGTTTTTTCTCACAAGCTGCAACAACTCCGCCTTCAAATATGTTGACATTCTTGTTAGCAAGCCATGTCCTAATGTGATCTTTTATATTTAATATAGCGGGTTCTTTGTCTTTCTCTGATACGGCATTATGATAAGCAGCATTACCCATTACTAGAAATGATGGTCTATCCAAAATTGTAAGATGATCATTCTCCATCCAGGATGTTGCTTTTATCCCAACTTGCTTGGAAGAAAGTCAGTCTCTCGCATAGTACACTTCTCTACCCAAGCTGTCTCTTAAATCCTGTGCCCATCTCCGTGCTAGTCAGCCCCTGCCCATGTTTGCTATGCCTTCTGCAAACATCTGTCCAAACCGCCGTGGCGCTTGATACTGCCAAAATATCTGTTATCTTAGACAAGATGTTTATTGGCCAATCTTCCTTAATGTTCAAATCTTTTATTAGGTGAATATTTCTTTTCTTCGCCGTCCATGGTATTCTAAGTAAATTTGTATAGCATTTCAGTTCAAAAGCCCTTAATTTCCGCCCTAATGGCTGCGAGATAGTCAACGAACCACGTCCGCAAACCCAGAGAAAATAAATACTCTAAAATGTTGACTTGATTTCCTTGCTGATGTCAACTACAGACTTCAAATGTTATTTTTAATTTTTGGAGAGAAGTTTTCGTAGACCAGCTAATTTTTTATTGTTAGACTGGAGTGCCTCAAATACCGCTCTTGCATCTGTTAGTTGTTGCAATTTCTTTCTGTGAGAGCAGTGCCCATACTGGGCGGGTTGTCCAAACCATTGTGCCTATAGAGACATCCTCTGCATAGCACAGTTGAGTTGAGTTGAGTTGAGTCAAGAATTGACATCACAGCATTCGGGGCATTCCCATGCATGCTTCGTCATAATCTTCAGCAGCTAGAGCCGAGTCCAATACTGATGGTACCGGTCACAATCTGGTTAAATGTCCGTCTTGCCTTTCCTCTGATTGTAGTCAGCCAGCCAGAGTCTCTTGTTACACACAGTTGGCTCATTCTCTCCAGACCATAAAAGAACTTGTTTCTCCACTGATCCGTTGCTTGTTCCCAAAAGGCCTTGACCACATCTGCCTTGTCATGTATCAATTCACCACACAGTGGTGCGGATCCAGCCAATCCGTCTACCTGTCATTACCCACCACGCCGGCATTGCCTGGAGTAAAGATCCAAACTATGCTCACTACCAGTGTCCTTTTCAGTGAAGCTTGCCGCTCTGCTCGAAGCATCCATGTTCACCGTTTTTCAGCATGCTTTCAGAGTCTGTTACAGTTACGACACGTGTATGCATCTTGTTTTCTAGCCACCTGAGAGCTGCAGTTACCGCCTCTACCTCCATTCTCATGCTAGATGTTGTGGTGTCATATGCTAGGATGTCTTGCACTAAAGATTTTCCATTGGCTTTCGCTACAAAACCCCAGGCACTTTTCTTTCCTCTTAGCACCGAACCGTCTGTATAGATAATCTCCTGAGTTATTTTTAAATTGAAAACGTCAATTTGATGGCACTGTGTAACAATGTACATGTTGAAGAATTACGAGGCGGGAGACTGTAGAAGTTAAGATATTAGCTCAAATTATTTTCCTGTGACAATTACCAGAATTTAACAATAATAATAATAATTAAAGGTAAATTCGTTACTCTGGCAGTACACACGGTATACTGGTCACAATTAAATGAGATTATAATGTCACGAAGTATCAATAGCCGACACCGCTTGAATTATCTGCCTTGGGACGTGCAAATGTTGGGTATATAAGCAGGGCGGAGAATTGAATGTACATCTTGCGTTTTACAGTACGGAATAGAGTGTAATCTTATGTATGCGTATATGATGTAGAATGTACATTTTATGCATGACTGCATACGATTAACTGTACAACTAGAACATAATTGTATAGTCTAGAGTATATATATTACATGACTGTACGTCTAAAAGCTAACTGGGAACCACACATATGAGGTCTGTACGTGCTAGCTAGAGGGCAGACTTTTGTCAACACACAGACGTCTCATGTCAACAGACATCCACTAAACACAGAGACAACATCGACGAAACAGTCGATCAATCATGTATCTGACATGACGGTGGCATGTAACAGCACTTACCCTCACAGTAGGCTGTCCCATTGATGGATTCGTCACTGTAATCAAAACAGTTGTCCACGGCGTCGCAGATCAGTGATTTGGCAACACAGGGCCCAGACTCACACTTGAACCCTTGGCATGCCACATCAGGCTTGCTGGCTGAGGACACACATTCATACAAGTCTCCACTGTGTTTGCTATTTGTGTTGACTAAACAAGGTGTGACTGCAGTCAAGTTGATGACAAGATGAGCGAAATGTATCATAGCATGTGACTGGGAAACTCATCAATGGGAATGGAAAACATGGACACAAAGACCTGCCTGTATTTCGACCGGTTGTTATCATCTGACTACTCAATATACAACACAGACTGTGACCAGAAAACTCAACGAACATGAGAACAAAAATGGTTAACAAACAAGGTTAACATGAAACCAAGGACACTGAAATAGTTGCCTTTTTTCTGACTTTCTCTTCCCCCCCCCCCTCTCTCTCTCTCTCGGTGTATGTGTGTGTGTGTGTGTATGCGTGTATGTTTGTGTATGTGTGTGACATCTAGCAAAGGGTGCAAGCAATTGTGACACGGACCTTGAGTATGTAGTCTCAATTTCTCACTCCAGAAGGTCACGTCAAATATGGATATATCACACAACACGGTAGGGAAAAGATAGAGTAGGTGATAGTTAATTATAAAATAAATATGTAATCTTTACTTAAGCATAATTGACTATATGAAAGCAACATGAAGAAATAAGACAAGTTAAACATTGACAGAAAAGATTTAGGAATTATAGAGAACACGTACTGGCAGAAAACAGCAGCTATAAGAATTAATAACAATTTGGGAAAATCCAGAGCATACAGAGGGCAGTACGACAAGGATGTGTATTATCATCTTTTTTTAAATGCTTATTATACAATGATTATCTAATGAGATCTATCACGGATACGCAGGAATTGTAGTTGATAGTCATAACATAAACAAACATAACATAAACAAACATAACATAAACAAACATAACATAATCAAACATAACATAAACAACATGCGTCACGCTGATGACACCGTCTTCACAGCCACAAGTGGGACAGAAAGAACTCAAGGCACTGACAGGTACGGTGGTGGTAACAAAGAGATAAAATGGGCCTCAGTTTGAATAATTGGAAGACAGAAGTAATGGTGATTTACAAGAACGAATAGTACCTATATGGATAATAGAAGTCAAGGGTTTTATTTTGGAACAAGTACAGACATGTAAGTATCTGGGCACATACATAACATGGAAGGTGTATCGCAGAGATAAAGAACACAATAGGACGGGCCAAAACGACCTTCCATAAAATGTGCAATAAATCCATGTCATTGGAGGTTAGGAACAAGATTTATCGCAAGCTATGTAGAGCCAGTTCTAACATGTGGCTGTCAATCCTGGCCAATTAATAAACAAGCCGAACAATATTTTGAGGTCTCGGAGATGTGGGTTTTTTTTACATAAGAATCCGTAGAATTCCTTTGACAGGTGAGAAGAGTAACCCAGATGTTCTGAAAGAGGCGAGTGCACGAAGACAACTTATCACAGACAGTAAGGTAAGGCACCTGACGATGACGATGAATCAATGCCGGACCAGTCTTGTAGGAAAAAATGCCAGTTCACAGGCACATCTTCCTTCATCTATCCAGAATCGTCCAGGTGAAAACTTTTACATGAACTGATAATAATAATATTCCCGTAAGATTCTGTCACTAGTAATTTTATTTCAAACAAGCCACCATAGAAAGCTTTAAATAATTCATTATTTAGAGAACAGCTCACTGCCACCAAAAGAAAACAGTTATCAATGCCAGGCTTTTTTTTTTTAAGACAAGAGAAAGACTAAAATATGATAGCCTGCCAGACTCCAGAGGAAAAACGAATGAGTAAATGGTAAAAAGAAAAGAAATGGAACAAACTCGCATCAAGGTATAACATGATATCGGCACATGATTTGATTTTTTAAAAGCATGGACAAGCAACATACACACACACACACACACACACACACACACACACACACACAGAGAGAGAGAGAGAGAGAGAGAGAGAGAGAGAGAGAGAGAGAGAGAACGCTTGGAGAGACAAGATAGCCCACACAATTTAGCAAGAATTTAAATACAAGAAAAACCTGAGAGTTATTATAACTGAAATCAGTCAATGTCACCGTGATTAGTACATGTGAAACTCATGTGACAACAACCAGAGAAACACTCACAGACTTTCCTGGCGGTGGCGATGATGGAGAAAGTGTAGTCGGTAGCGTTGTTGTGTTTTAACCTGACAGTTAAAGTTGAGGAGTTGATGTAGATGACCCCAGGATCAGGACTTGCACAACTCATTGTCAGCTGTGGAAGATACACCACAATTCTGTGTTCATGTCTATGTTTACATGAGATTGACTCATTGTCAGCTGTGGAAGAAATATCACAGTTCTGTGTTCATGATTGGTTTGATTTTATTCAAGAACCGACATCACAGCACTCGGGGCATTCAAATAAGCGCCCCATCCCTATCTTCAGCAGCCAGCGAAGAGTTCCGATACTAATGGTGCCAGTAGCATTCTGATTAAACCGCCGTCTTGCCTTCCCTCTGAGCCTCAAGCATCTGCCAGAACCTCTCGTCACTTCCCCCGGCATCAATCTCACCAGAATGCAGTGATCCATCTGCTCCTCCGAACTGTACACGCTCTCCCACAAGGAATTAACCACGTTTGCCTTATCATGCATCAGTATTCCAGCAAGTTGTGCAGAGCGAGCCACTCTGTCCGCCTGTTCATTTCCCAACACACCGGCGTTTCCCGGTGAAAAAGTCCAGACAATACTCCTCACCCATGTCCTCCGCAGCGAGGCACGCCACTCTGCAAGAAGCATGCCTGTCCTGATCTTCCTTAGCATGCTTTCTGAGTCGGTTACAATCACTGTGTGTGTGTGTGTCGTGTTCTTTAACCAGCAGAAAGCTGCAGTGACCGCCTCCACCTCCATTCTTAAGCTGGAGGCTGTAAAATCATTTGCTATGCTCTCCTGCACCAAACGTCGACCATTAACGCTTGCCAAGAAACCACAAGAACTTCTTTTGCCTCTTGACACTGAACCGTCTGTGTAAATGATAAAATCCTCTGAGCGAGCATTATCTTTAATTAATAGCTGAATTTCCATCTCCGTGGCACCTGCTGGCCAGTCTCAGCATTCCTGGCTCATTGTGATTATGACCCTACACAAGTCTGACTGTTCAGTTGCACTTTACCCACTCCTCTCCTCGCCTAATGTTCTCAAGGATGCAAACCTGTCTGATTGTGTCTTCTGCCTGAGCCATCCATGACTTCCGTCTTATCAGCCGCTGACCCTTCACTGCACCCAAACCTCCTTCTCCCTCAGTGCAGTCATCAAGATGTCGTATCTTACTCTGTTATAAGCATCCTCGGGATCCAGGGCCATAGTTTCCCGTCTGTTCTGGAACCCTTCATACACATCAAAAGCAAAAGTAGCTGCATTCTAAGAGACGCACGCAACACTGCAGAGGATAGTAGCAGACGATTTTAATAGCGACCGTTGACAATGCCCATTGTCGAACTTTCTGCCGAAGAACAAATCGCGGTAAATCTAGGATCGGCTCGGAAAAACGACACTAATGCTTAAACAGGCTCTCAGCGATATGTTACTTGCGGACCTGTTTCTGTGACTTTGCTTCACCACCTAGTGTATCCCGCGCCGCTACGCGCGGCGCGGATAGGGACTAAACTAGATTGCTAGAATTCACGAGCGGCAGCTACCGCATCTCCTGCAACTTTCTCCAATTACTTTGCTTGTGAGTCCCAGGCACTTAGTTTAGCCCCCCATCCGCGCCGCGCGCGCGGAGCGGGGGATGCGCTCGGCGATTAGTCTAATCGCGTTTTGCGCATGCCGACAAGTCTGACATCTACCGCTTCTAAATCCGCAATCGGAGGAACAGTATTGTTAATCGCTTTCATCGTCTGTAATGTCTCGAAATTGTCAACGGTCGCTAATATCGTCTGCTAGTATCGTCTGCAGAAACGTTTGAAATTGTCAACGGTCGGTATTTATCGTCTGCTACTACCGTGTGCAATGTTGATATTGTTAAGTAATCCTAGTTTTGCCGCGATTTGTTCCTTAGCAGAAAGTCCGTATTTTAGATATGCCTGAACACCGTTGGGATATTTTTGGATATTTTATGGCCAGAATGGCTCTCCTCCGAACGGCATCATATTATGGCCGCCATATTATGATGCCATTCGGAGGAGAGCCCACTCTAGTATTGCCTGCCTGCTAGGGAAGGGGTATTGGATGTACCGTAGGAGTCCATACGCCTGGTGCCGCCCCGCACGCCCGTCATATCTGTGTTCATGTTATATATATATATATATATATATATATATATATATATATATATATATATATATATATATATATATACCTGAGATTTGACAATGACAGGTACGTAATCGTGTCATCCATTTTTGGATGCAATTTTTCGTTATTTAAAGCCCTACTCTAGCTCTTGCCGGGGTCACCAATATAGCCCGGTCATAAGTATGGTCTAATGGCTAAACGCGGTTTCTGGGACCTCTCCACGGGTGATCTTTATCCACATGGTGGCACTTTGTGTCATCGGGTGTTTATCGCTTGTGTGATGTCCTGGTGTGGTAAAAGAAGACAGATAGAAGGACAGGTACGACACTGATCTCGTGAAACGAACCTTGTTGCCGGTTAGACACCAATCATTCCCCCCCCCCCCCCCCGTCATTTTAACAACCCATTTTTTTAATGAACAATTTTACAATGTTACTGAGTACTCCCTATTAGGCCATATTTATCTCTTTGCTTGTGTATGTACTGCTATAGTGTATGCTGTTGTCATAAAAAAAAAAAACCCACATGTATGACTTGTGTGCATTATCTGTGTCCTCTCTGTTCGTTAGAAACGATAGCATTTTACCGTTATTTAGTGTTTCTGCAGAAATTTACCATCGATTTGTAAACCAGTTCCGAATAATTTATCAAGCTCAAATTTTTCACAGTCATCCTTTGTATGCGACAGTTCAATTTGGTAACAACGTTTCTAGAACAATTCCTGTTGGCGCTCGTGTTCCTAATCAAATGGATGATATTTGTCACCTGACGAAGACAAGTCGAATCTCCAGCTAAGATGTCACGGATAAGACAACATTCGATTTACGATAGAGCTATGGAGGTAAGACAAGTAGTTTTAGAATTGATTACACTGACTGATTTTGTTTAATTTTAATTTAATTTTAAAAGTCGACAATAAAGATCTTTTTAAAAAAAAAAAAGCCTGCATATAAACAATAAAGTGCACCAAATAATTAATGCACAAAAAAAGGCACATAATTTACATATAAGTGACAGTTGAACAACAGTGGTAGAAAGAAGAGACAACTTAGAAATAGGGTGGTAGAACATATAGCCAAATGGCTGCATGCACAGTTTGGTGATTCCACAAGGTCGTCGAGGCCAGTCAAGAGGAATAACCCACTTCTTCAAAAGGACGTCATTTGCTTGATTCTGAGACATGTAATTGACAAGGGCAGTACTTTAGGTGTGATTTACCACACACCGAACAGGCGAATGCAGAGACTGGCTGAAGCTTTTAAAAAAAATCAACATACCCTCTTATATAAGCAAAAGAAATTCATAATCAATTTGAAGTTACCCTGGTAAGTCAGGTGATTACATTGCACTTTTGGCAACTAGAACACGATGCATCGAGAGAGACCATTCGCATTTCAGTGGAAATTATTACGGTTTGTGCGTGTGTGTGCGCGCGCGCGCGTGTGTGTGTGAGTGCTTCAATGTTTGTTGAAGGAACTCTGTAATAACGCACTTAACGTGATACAGAGAAATATGCATGACAATAAACAGTGCGATGTATTGTTTGTGCACACATTTATTTGAAAACAATTTCTCATTTAATTTATTAGATGATCAAATATATTGTCTTTATAAAATGTGTCTACATCTTATTTAAAGACTAATAATACAATTGTCACGCGACAAATTTTCTCCCTCCCCCATCTCCCTTCTCCCCCTTACCGGTCTTCTGAAAGTAACACTTCCCCCCTTCCACGCCCCCCCCCCCCCAAGCCTCCCCCCCCCCCCCGCCACATGAACGTGAACAATTGTAGATCTCAAATTCTGCCGTTCTGGATCGAATGGGAAAAGACAGAATTCTCCACAGCCTTGGGACACAGACGCCATTAATGTCTGTACACGCACAATCTATCTCGATAGTTCACAGAATCGGCTACTTCCGTCGACACTAGTCACTGTCAACACAGCCACATTCAGCGTCTTTCGGTCAGTTAGTTCCTGTCCCTCCACTTTATCTTATTCTAAGCAATCCATTTCAGCTGAGAATGATTGTATTGCATAAGGTGCTAGCTTGCTCCAGGGACTGCAACTAAAACATTGTAATCGGCTCGTTGAATGGCCTCGTGTAGTTTACTTCAATCGATACTTAGTGGAGATACTTCCTGGATAGATGATGAACAAGCAGTTGTTTAGTTGTTGCTTTTAAAAGTTTTACAGCTGGGGGTGGGGAAAGGAAGGGGGGGGGGGGGTTCAGAGGAGCAAACAAACAAGCGGGTGCCTGAGTATATGCTAAAAGTTAATTGTGTATCCTTTGCAGACGTTGCAGAATCAATCCAAGCATTTTCTATTTGCTGTTGTGGCTTTTAAAGGCGCATTTTACGTTCAGTATTTTGCCATTGCTACTGAACGGTCACTTCTCGGTACCATTGTCGAAACCAACTCAAGACAAACCGTCCTCAGCTGGGATTAAACCCGGCATCCCGGCATTGCGAAATGCGTTCGCAACGCCCAAGTCACAGATACCGATGTGTTTTTGTGCATTTCCCTAGAGTACAATAGCACGGGAATTCTGTTACTTTTGGACACCAGCCATCCCCCCCCCCCTTTTTTTTTTTCCAGTCCTTTCCCACCTCTCTCGCTCATTAATGTTCAATGAGCGCTTGAGGTCGATTACAGGGAAGTTCTGAGACTCGTGCACAGCAGCCCTATCTCTCCCCTCCCCCACCCCACTTTTTCATAATCTTTTTTGAGCACTAGACTTCACTAGCACAGGAGTTCTGACATCACTGCCCTCGCCACTCCCTCAACAATCTTCCATCAGCACTAAAGTTGAGTTGTACGGGGGATCTTATACTCGTGCACACCACCACTGCCCTCACCACCCTCTCAACACTATTTTATCAGCACTAAAGTTCAGTTGTACGGGGGATCATATACTCGTGCACACCACCACTGCCCTCGCCACCCCATTAACAATCTTCCATCAGCACTAGAGTTCC